TATATAACCATGGATATTTAACTAAAGTTGGATTAATTAATATATTTCTATTTATAGGCATAAACAGCATATACCTAATAAGCACAAAAAATATCAAAATAAAGTTTTATTATAACTCACCGATAGATATTCTTCAACGCTTTACAATTTCACCTTTACTTATACATATATGTTTTGCTCCCACAAAACGATTCCTTTTTTAACTTTAACTTTGTCCATATAATAGAAATATATACATCATGGAAAGAACACTCGACTATGAGTAGGTACTAGATAATATTAAAAAATACTAGTAGACTGACATGACAACTAAGAACACAATCTTGTTATAATGTGGGGTGTTTGAAAAAATATTTAAATTGTCGGTAGTTACTTCATAAACGAATCAAATAAAATAACCTGAGAGATCTGTGATTGCCTCGAACATTGCAAACTTTATACTCAAGTATTGAAACATTAGTAGAAATTTTGCGTTAAATAATGTTTAAAAAATATTTAATGAATCCAAAAAGAACCGAGTGAGTGCAGGATTCGACCCTGTGACAAGTGAAACGTAAGCATCAAGCGATAGCCATTGCGCCATAGTTGCAACTGCAAAGTTAAGGGAAATATTATTGCAATGTTTGTGACGTATTATTTTTATCTTTACCCTCGTCTTTATTTACATTTATTCACTAAATTAATACATATACCAAACTGAAATGATATTAAATACCAATGTGTCCGTGATGGACGAATGTTTTTATGCACATTAATATGAAATTATCCACACTTGCATTTTGTATAACGTTGTAAACGATAGTAGTGTCGATGTGTAGCACTGCGAAATAATTAGCGATTCCGTGTACACCTATAAACTAGAACTAAAACAGAGAATAAAAAAGCAAAAAAAAATACACTCTCCCTTAGTCGTCAAAAAACTCGTCCGCATCTCTGTCACTGGGGAACGTTCCCAGAAAACTGAAAGCATTGAGTCACTGCAGGGTGTCATATAAAAATCAGTATTGGGCATGTCGGCTCAACTCAATGCTGAGATGGAGGTACTTTTGGTCCTTGCCAAAAGAACGCGCTCTGCACGCGCTAATAAACTGTTATCTACCTCGTGTGTTCATAAGTTTTGAGACAAATTAAAAGTTGCATATCTTTTTAAATAATAAACTTATATTTATAAAAACAATAACAAACATTAAGTAGATAGTAAGTAAAAATTAAATATAATTATTATTCAAAATGACCACCCCTGTTTTTAATACATGCCCTTAGACGATTTGGCCAGTCATCAATGGCGGCACGAATCTTTCCAGAGGAATTCGCTTCGCTTCTCGGACAAGAGCTCGCTTAAGTGACTCCAAGTTTGGGTGGGACTTTCGGCAGGCTTTGAGCTCTCTAATTCGGTCCATAGAGAATAATCCAGCGGGTTGAGGTCGGGGCTGGAGGAGGGCCATTCGTTCGCCGCAATGAAGGCCGGCACATTTTCCTTCAGCCAAGCTTGGGTGGTTTTGGCCTTATGGGATGGCGCCGAGTCTTGCTGGAAAACCCAATACTTGTTATGGAATAGGGTATTAGACAGGGGTTTCACAACAGTCTCTAGAATGTCACTTTGATAATTTTTGGCTTTCACCTTGACGCCTTGTTGGCAGAAATGAAGCTGAGTGACACCTTCGTACGAAACTCCCCACCATACCATGACACTAGCCGGATGATGAGTACGCGAGACATTCCGTGCTGAAGGTGGGACATCCTTGCTACTTTTGGCATACACTTTATTGTTTTGTCGATTGAACTTTTCTTCGACGGTAAAGATTTTCTCGTCGGTGAAGAGTATCTTCCTCGCATCGTGTCTCCTAAGCAGTATTGGACAACGTTCGCGTCGCAATTGACGAAGGCGATCGTTTAAAAAGTGTACTTTTCTACGGCTATACGCCTTAACCTTGAGATCATATTTCAGTATTCTGTTGACTGAAACGCGCGAAGTATTGGTCTGCAGAGCGAGTTTCTTCTGAGTGCGACATGGATTTCGGCGAAGTCGCTTTCGGATGATTTTAATGTTCGCAGGCGTCCTCACAGAGCGTGGACGACCACTTCTTTGCCGATCATGTAAAGAACTTGTCTCCTGGTATCGTTTAACAGTGTAATACACGAAGTTACGGCTCACACCAAAACTTTTCAGTTCTCGGAAAATGTCCATAGGTTTTCTTCCCACCTTAAATAATGAAATGACGGTCGCACGTAATTCTTTTGTTCCCTCCATTACGAGAAAATTTAAATAAAATAATCCGAAATCATAGATATTAAAAGTTAACATTCCAAATTCAAAATTAGAAAAAGAAATATACAGCAGCCAGTAATTTTTATTTTATTTTTATAAGCAAAAGTTTGTCTCAAAACTTATGAACACACGAGGTATATCTTATTCTAATAATCCTTATTTAATTTTTATGTTATTATAGTATTGTCACTATTTGGTTATATTACATATTGCTGTTTCTTTGTTCTTGTCATTACTCTTTTCAGTTTATTATTGTTTTGTATGTACCTATGTAAGTTTCTGTACTTTTTTCTTTTGTTTTTAATTTTCTTTTATTTTGGTATCATGTTTTCTTTTTTGGTATGGTGTGCGAATGTTTTTTCTTTCATTGTCACGGTTAAGTATCATTTTATTTATTATCTTCTTCTTTCATTATTTTCTGTCAGACATCATCACATTACAAACCAGTTTCCTTTCATACCGATTATCCCAATGATAACAGACAATACAAAAAGGTTGTATTCTGTAATCGGAGTTTCCTTGATGAGTTGAAACGGGACTCCCGCTGAGAGTTTCGTACAAATGGCTCTTTTTCAATTACGTTAAAAATAAAAAGTATGCAATATTAAGAATTTTTCTTTTTTTTATAACCACTTGCAACTTCGCAAGTTTAGGTTTATCAGAAAGTGCTGTTGCCCGTGTAGTCCCTAAAGCGTTCATACCAAACGTATTGTCGACCGCTGCGCTGGTTTTCAGCATTAAGCCGTCACTATCTATACTTATAATAAAACATGAAATATATTTGCAAAATAACTATCAGTGGGTTAGTGATCGATACTAATACCAAAAATGCAATCAGTAATATTTTTGTCTGTCTGTCTGTCCGTCTGTATGTTCTTTATTGAAACAAAAATAACTCGACGGATTTTAACGAAACTTGGTACAATTATTCTTAACACTCCTGGGGTGGTTATAGTATACTTTCCATCACGCTACAATCAATCGGAGCTGGGCAGTGTGCAGCAATGGTTAAAGCTACATAGAACTCATGTATTATGAAAATGTTCTACGTAAAATTATCTAAAAAATATCTCACAACAGCATAATTATGTCTTTTAACTATCTTTTATGGTTGACTCGCAATAACACGTGTAGCTCCCGATAGCTTAGCATTTCGGAGCTTTCTGCTTATATTTGTTTACTTTCACGATTAAATTATTCGCACTCATCCATAATTGAAAAAAGGTAACATTATTACCTATTCAATATAAAAAGAATCATAGAAATCGGTATAGAAACACCGAACTTATACATGAATCATGCTATAAGGGTTATTTTTGTGTAGCGATGTGTGTATGTTTGTTACTCAGTCATATTAAAACGACTGAATGGACCGGAATGAAATTTGGAAGTATATGGTATTTTTTAAGGGGGGATAATTAACACTATGACTAATAATCCTGGAAATAGTATAAAAGATTAGGTTTTTTTATGGGGGGGGGGAATCATCGAATGACTTCTCCCACCTGGGTGAGGCGGAGGTAGTGTCAGACTCTTACTGACTAAAAACCACTCCTGCCCTTCGAGCCGGAGCCCCGGCAACCCATTAAATGCTCCGCGGCTCCGTATCGGCATCAGCCCTATTGGGCCCCATCCGTGGTGGTCTGTTGGCTCTTTGAGACGCGCGCGGGTCTGGTTCTGATCGAGCGACGAGCTACCCCTGCTCACCGTCCGCAAGTCCGCAGTTCGTCCCGCGGTCTCCGACGCCCGGAGTGCCCTTCGCTACGGCTAGGCTGTGAGGAGGCAGCGTAGTATATGGTCTGAAGTAATACATAGACATTTTACCCCTGGAATCGCGGGCGAAGCCACAGGCAGAAGCTAGTAATAATATAAAAATACAATATAAAATAATTGTATCTACATAATACCGAGTTAATGACTAAACATATCTTCCAGGATACTTAAAATCCTACTAATATTATAAATGCGAAATTTTGTTTCTTTGAAACAGGGGTAGATTATGCTCAGGAATAATATAGAGGTATACAGCGGTATGTACTTAACCAAGTCCTTAGCAATTGTTTTCGGAACAAAATCGTTACTGAGGAATAGTTTAGTTAATCATTTCTGAGTATCGCAGTTAGTCTATTTTTATACCACGAGAACGCGCGCGAAGCCGTGGGCAGAAGCTAGTCCGACATGTTATCGTCACTAGAATGTTTTACCTTGAACGAGAGAAACGACATTGATAGTTATACAATTAGTCACTACCAGCAACACAAAGGGACGAGTTTCAATTTCCTCTTAGCTGGAAAATTCACTACTATTTATGGAATACAGAATATTTTCACTGGAACTGCCGGACTGCCTCGTTGACCAAGTGATCGCAAGTGCGACTGCCGGGCAAGGGTCGGGGTTTTTTTACTGGGTTTTTTTTTTCAAAAAAGTCAGTAGTAGCATGGATTCTGAAATTGTGCCCGGTATATGGCAATAGGCTCACCTCCTTATACATGGGGCTCATAACATAAATAGTGAAAAGTGGGTGTTACATTGTACAGTGGCATTAAGTGGCGTAATGTGATTATTATATAGAACGCTTTCGTTTTACAATCTTTCTATTATGGGAGAGAAATCACAAACTTTTTTATTTCCTCATTTACTCTAAAGGTCACAATATGTATTTCTATAATATGTTTTTATCTTTTTTCAGATCGGGAATGAAAAAAGATAAGGCAAGAAAATAAGTCTCAGAATGTATTTCGTAAATAAAATTACGATACTCCTTGTTGGAATTACTCTTATTGCTAAAATAGAGACAATTGGCGCAGACAAATACGATGAAGAAGTGAATATAGATCTCAAATATAATAGACATGAAAAAAGACCCAAAAGATCAGAAAACGCAGTAGAGAACATGACAACAACAGAAGTAACACCACTAGAGAACGTAACAGAAGAATGTGTGGGACAAAAGGAATTTTGTAACTTAACTCGAGAGGAATACGTCACAATGTTGAATGATTATATTTATCCGCATACGTACGAATGGGTTCTGATTGGCACGCACACTCTGGTATTTATTACGGGATTGACGGGAAATGCTTTAGTGTGTGTTGCTGTGTATAGAAATCACAGTATGAGAACTGTGACGAACTATTTCATTGTAAACCTGGCTGTGGCGGATTTTATGGTTATCCTCTTTTGTTTGCCTGCCACCGTTCTATGGGATGTCACTGAGACCTGGTTCCTGGGAGATGTGCTGTGCAAAATGCTGCTGTATTTCCAGGTAAGTGGAATCAAATTATTATTTTATTTTTTTAAAATATTTTCAATCTTTTGGATTATTTAACCCTTTGAGTACTGTCATTATAGACACAATTAAAATAACAATAGGTTGCGGTCACCGGTGTCCTTGCAATGTTTGACAGTTTAACAAAACGATAAAGACGTTAAATGTAAAGGTTGGAATTGATAATCTTGAGTTTTTCTGATAAAATGCAAACACTTGACCATTGTAAATTTGACGCAGCTTAAGCTGTTTTTATAGCGACAGTTAAAGTAAACGTAGTTCGAAAGATCGAGGATAGACAGCCTAAAACAATAAAATTAAGCCACACAAGTTGCTTCAGTTGACTACTATTAAGCCACTAAAATCTCATCTTGAAGCTTTATAGCCTAGGAAAATAAGCGTAATTAAGACAAGGATCTCAAAATATGAGATAGAGATGCGGTTGAAAACATGTGGAATCTTTGATCATTTTAATCGTTTTTTATCTTTGATCATCAAAGTATAGACGCTACATATGAATCTACACCTTGGAATGAGCAAATAGCTCTGATTTCAATTTTTTTGTTGACTTTCGAAAGTGAATTCCTGGTCTAATCGAAATAAAGGATTTTGACTTTGACTTTACGATGAGATTTTGAGACAAGTTCTAAGTTGTCAATAGTTCAATACAAAGATTTTCGACTGATTTTTAGCCAAATATCTCACAATTCTAGGTTAAACCTTAAATTTTCTATGCTATTACTTCACGTCACTACTTCAGACGTACGGGTATTGCACAAAGTAGGTATGTAAAAAGGAAATTGGTCAATTTCAAGCTTTTGTCTCTGGACTGTACATTAAGGCACTTAATTTTAAATATCACGTTACGCAATGATCACGTCGCGTGGTGATTCAAAAAATGCCAAGGCATGAAATAAAAAAGGGAATGAAATTAGCAGAGAAAAAAACATTGAAGACACAAGACTGTACCAGAACAGATGTTTATTGGTTTATTACGTGTAATGTTTAATTTAAAACATTAGACACGTATTTTTTTCTTTTCTTACGGAATTAAATACTTTGACGACGCCCCAAGAGTCCTTCGCGACGGCTGGGCTGTGAGAAGGCAGCGCTCCGCTGCCTTATGCGCCCTGCCTCCTCCTTAGCAAGCATGACTGTTTCGTAATGTGTGCAATTTGCCGGAGGAAACGGCATCCCAGGCCTCTTTGCTCCACACCATGGCCTGAACCAGAGCCGGACGCGCGAGGTCACCGTCGCCGATCACATCCCTAAGGACACGGCGGCGCTCAGCCTAGGCAGGGCACACCGCCACCGTATGCTCCACCGTGTCCTCCGGGTGGTCTCAGCAGTGATTATTATAAGATATGAGATACAATATTATTATGCAATAGTAAACGGCGACTAAGTTAACTGCACCATTTCCACACTAGAACAATCGTGTCTAATTTAACTGGCTATAACAATTAGGATATTGTGGTGAGTTCCACTTAGGCGATATGCATATAACCCTCAGTGCGTTAAAAAATAGAAGATGTAAAATCAACTTACTTTTATAATTACAATTTTAAAATTTTATTGTATTTACATATATTAATAACACTATTTTGGATCACAATTTTTACACAAACATATCCCGCTGAATAAAAATTTTATTTGTGTGTTTTTATTTTAATTTATTGTTCTTGTTGAGCGGCGCACCGCCGCCCGTGAGTCACCGCAGGGTGCCATCTGAAAATCAGCGTCAGGCATGTAGGCTCAACTTAATACTGAGAGGCCATTTTGGCAAGGACACGCGCTAGCTTATTACTGTCAGTAAATGCTTTTTCTTCCTTTCAAGTACCCGTTAATTGCTAACTGGATTATTTTCAGTGAAATGGACGTCTGAAAGTTTCAGAATGCGTCCGTCCATCAATTTCTCAATCCATTTTGTGCTAAAATATTGAATATTTGAATGAGATTGCTTATCCTTATTAAACGGGGCTTACAATGTTTAAGAATAAAAATAATAATACATTATAGGTACAATGTATTAGAATATACTAGGTATTTCAATACATTATAAGCCCTTTACTGGAAATGGTATTTTGATAATTATATTTGAGCTCTGTAGCTTCTGCCTGCGGCTTCGCTCCATTAGGGTAAAACGTACAGTAACGGTAAAACTATGTGTTTGTGATTCAAGACCATAATCTACCCCTGTTTTGAATTTCATCCCGATTTGTTTAGCCGTTTTTGCATGAAACTCTTTCACATATACATCCTTACAAACTTTCCCATTTATAATATTATAGTAGGAAGTAGGACAGGATTAGTAGGATGTATTTGTAATTGGGCCTCCAGTAACCTCACTCACTCGACGAAACACAAAGCAACGTTAATTTACGTCGGTCTTCTGTGATGCGGTTGCGATTGGTTGCGGCTCCCGCGGCGCCAGCCGGCGCTGCCGTTATTTCGTAGCCGCCGCGATCTCGCAGCCGCCGTAGTCCCGCAGCCGCAGTGGCTACTACCACGCGCGCTCTGCGATCGTTTGGCGGGCGATCGCAATGGGTCGGCCGGTCTGGAACTCAACTGATTGTTTAACCGCCCGCCCGTCTTGCGATAATCAATCGCTAAGTTTGCGAGCGATAATAGCAACCGCGGCGACTCTGGGGTAAATAAAATTCCAATAGTACTATATTACCGAACTCAGGATTCAATTTTTAGTTTATAGTCTTATGTAACCAATCGATCAACGATATAATTGCTACAAACATCTATACATTGGCTACGAGAGTGCTACGCCGTAGCAACGATTAGGAGAACTAAGGTCGCTTACGTACTTATTAATTCGCAAATGTTAAACCGTTGGAAATATTATTTTCAAGACCTACAGTTATTGGATAAATAGGACCACATACCATATTAGCAATATCTGTTGAAAACTAATCATAGTCCTTGCTCGTAGTTGCTACGTGTTTTGCTACGCTGTTGCTACGCGTATTGCTATGCGACCTTTTTTTTTAAGTGGGGACATCATCGAATGACTTCTCTCGCCTGGGTGAGGCGCGAAGCTTCGAGCCGGAGTCCCGGTAACCGGTTAAGTTCTCCGCGGCTCCGTATCGGCATCAGCCCTATTGGGCCCCATCTGTGGTGGTCTGATGGCACTATGAGGCGCGCGCGGAACGCGACGCGCCGTACGCTCGGGTCTGGTTTTGGTCGGGCGGCGAGCCACCCATGCTCGCCGTCCACAGGCCCACGCTTACAGTGGCAGGAGATCGTCCCGCGCCGGAGTTCGTCACGAATATCTTAATTTTATAAATGTATTGTTATTCATACTCTAAAATAGCATGATATAAGGCGTTCTATGGAGCATGCTCAAAAATATTCCAAAATGGAACGGCTGCCGATTCGCAAGAATGCCCGAAATGAGCATTTTTAGAACACAGTACAAAATGTGGTTGTGGGAGGACAAATGTGACCTTCATGGGTTGTCTTCCAAACATTCCTATGTGTACCACTTATCAGAACGATTTATTTATTTGTATCAAATCTTTTTTATGAGATTAGGCGGCAAGCAAACAGGTGGATAATTTGACGGTAAGCAATCGGCTCCGCTCATACCTATGTTGACCTACTCGTCATATCAGAGAAATTAAAAGTGCGTTGCCTGCCTTTTGGAGGTTAGGTATTTGAAAATTTGGAAGGTTTTGAGATTGGAGATAGGGACGATTGGGCCTCAGGTAACCTCACTTATACGACGAAACACAACGTTGTCGCTGTTTTATTATATTATGTATACTGTGAGACCGTGGTATCAATCCGAAAAATAACTAGCGACCCGCCCCGGCTACGCACGGGTGCAATATGCATGTATTATACATACAAATCTTTCTTAAGAATCACTTTATCTATTAAACAAACCGTATCAAAATCCGTTGCGTAGTTTTAAAGATGTAAGCATACATAGGGACAGACAGCCGCGGAAAGCAACTTTGTTTTATATTATACTACTATGTAGTGACAATATTTTTTTGTTATTGTGACTATATGGTGTGGTAAGCATTTATTCTTTGTCTACTGGTAAAAACACAGAGGGTGAATAAGGATATGCAGAAATTGGCCTATTACAAGTTATTTTGTGACAGATTATATCGTTATCATAATTTATTATGCTTATTCCGGTATCTCGGAATTACAGAATCCCGTAATTCTCGATAAATCGATTCTGTCGAAGAACGTGGATTAAATTTAAGGAAATATTCTAAAATATTTATTGAAATGGAACGAGATGGAATGAATAAGGTTATTTTATCCGATGATTAATGAAATAAATCCTTTCGAAGATGTATTTGAAGCAATGGATACAAAATAAGTTTTGAATTTATAAACGTATTCACAAAATGTTGTCGGTTAGACTTAATAGGTGATTCGGGATGTCCTGCTCTCTGAAAGTTCATTTCTAAGGTCAAAGCATGTTTCTAGTACCGTTTATAGTATTTTATGTACAGTGTACAGTCGAACAAGTTTGTAGGTCCAGAGAGTAAAGTTCCTTAAGATCGGAAAGTATATCCTCCGATCAGGCGAGGTGATCCTGCCACGCCTTTCTACCCAATAGTTGTTCGTTGGAATTTTCTATCCATGTTTATTTGCATGTAAACTTCAAATGTGAGATGTTGGATTTATTGACGTCATCCGTTGATATGTATCGTTGCTCGTCTATGTGCGACATCGGTCATCTCTTATTTTGTCAATATGTTGCCACAATGTGAAAAATGTGTGTGTGAAGTATGAAGGTAGGAAAATAAAAAATATATTATTATTATTTTTCTTAACGAAGTCAAAACTTTTGTAAGCTATGGTCGACTCAGTGATCTGTCTTGAATCAATCATTATTACATAGATACCAGATTATAACTTGGTTGCCTGTATCTACATCTACAGACGGTTTCTGATTACATAGGACCCATTATGTAACTGGCAATGGAGTGCTACATTTCCACTTTGTCTTGACGACAATC